AGAGAGAGAGAGAGAGAGAGAGAGAGAGAGAGAATAACTGTTTGTTATAACGTTTGTTAATTTTGTTTGTTATAAAGTGTTTCGACGCATAAAAGGCAACCCAAATGTGGCGATCAGTGAATTGCATCAAACCTATGGACCGATGCTTACAATATGGATGGGTTGGACACCAATGGTATACATAAGTGACTATAATTTAGTCAAAACGGCGTTTACTGCGAAAGACAACGCTTTGATGGGAAGAGTGAGAAGTGGTTTCGCTTTGGCACAGATCGGCAAACATCAGGACATACTTCAGACAGACTACGGGTCCGTTTGGGCCAGTCTTAGACGGGTCTCACACTCGGCGGTCAGGTATGCGATGACTACGATATGAGTTTTTATTATTACAAACGCAATTATTTATTTTTCTCAGTTTATTATCAATTTTCTTATAAATAATTATTAATAAATAAATTGTAATTTGTTATACAGTAGACATAATATTGATATAACATGTTTTTAAAACTTTCAGAAAAGTGGCCGTAAGTGAAAAACTACACGAATTAGTGGCCGATGTGGTCGACTCGAGCGCACAGACCATGAAAAGGACTCACCCATTGGGCGCACCCTTTGATCCCAAGTGCTATCTCTATCACTCGGTTATGGCTATACTCGCGTCCACTGCTTTCGGGAAGCGGTAAATGTTTTTAAAACCAAAACTATAGTTAAACTTTCTTTTTATTAACTATTTTATGTAACTTAAACTGAGGTTAAACTACAATCATTGTATTTATGTTTATTTTAAAATAATTGCCAGATTATAGAAGTTTAGCTGTAAATTATAATTTCTAATTAAAATTTAATAATTTAATTATACTTTGTATTACAAACAAAAAACAATTAGATATCAATTAGACGATAAAGAGTTGGCATTTTATGGCGAAAGCCTTGAGTTCATGCAAAGCCGGACGAGTCTATTGGCGGCCATCGATCGCATACCACTCTTACGACTGATCCCAAAATACGGCAATTATGAGCGCAAAGTGTTTGAAACGGCCAGAGATGTGACCAATAGTTGTAAACAACAATATATGGCTCACCGGAAGACCCATTCCTCGGGAGTCGTCAATGACTTCTGCGACGCTCTCATTGAGGCTAAAGAAAAGGCCATTGAAAGTGATGGCAGGGATGGCAAAGATAGTAGGGATGGCGGGGATAACGCGGAGGCTTTTAATGATGATAACCTTTCACTTGTTATTAAGAATTTGTTCGCAGGTTTGAAAATAACATATAAATTTTTTTTGTATAAAAGTATTTTATATATTGTAAGATGGTTACTTATAGCTATGCATTGCACAATATTGCAATTAGCTATAATTAAATTAGACTTATTTGTTTCCCGTATTGTATAGCGGGAACCGACACAACACAGTATACTCTGCAATGGATTGTATTATTGATGGCAAACAACACTGAAATGCAGATTCAGATGAGGGATGAGATCGAGTCTGTGATCGGCGATAGAGTGGCCACAAGTGATGACAAAAATAGTTGTCATTTTGTAAACGCATTCATCGCCGAAACTATGCGATACAGAGGCGTAGCGCCAATTGCTGTCACCCATCGAGCCATGACTGACACCACTATTGGTGCGTATAATACAAATATAAAATACATAAATGTAAAATATAACATAAATGCAATTTTTGTAGATAAATATTGCATTGAAAAGAACACTTTGATTATCAGTAACTTATGGGCCATTCATATGGACCCAAACGTGTGGCCAAACCCAGATGTGTTTGACCCGAAAAGGTTTGTGACCAGAGATGGCTCATTCCGGGCCAAAATGCCGGGCTTTGCGCCCTTCGGTATCGGCCGTCGGGTCTGTTTGGGCGAAAAGCTGGCGCTCGCGGACCTCTTCCTCATAACTGTGCGTCTCTTGCAGTCGACCAATGAGTGTGTGTTTGCTTTGCCGGCGGGCGACGGGTCCGCACTAGAGTGACCAACTCAAAATGTACAAAATCGGGACATTTCTTAATAATTATTGAAAATTCCGGGATATTGCAAGACATTTCGTAATTTCCCAGGTAATTTGGTCGTAAAATTGAATTTTCATCGGG